ATTTAAATAAATAACATTAAGTAATTTTCATTGAATATATATTTAATGTTTTTTTTTTTTTATATTAAAAAAATTCTAATTAAAAATATTAATAATAGGATTTAATACACTAAACTAACAAAAATAGTAATATATTTATATGAAAATGTTGATATTAAATATATTACAGTATTATAATAGTATATTTTGTTAATAGTACCACAGACTGAGAATCCGATGATTATGTTCGAAAAGAGCGTTTATGAGATCGGTGATTATTTAGAAGCAAACTGTTCGTCCTCAGCGGCGTTACCTGTTCCTCATTTAACTTGGTTCATAAATGGAAAAGAGGTATCAGCACACAAAACATGCGTACACGTAAACACGTATATTTACACAGTATGTAGGTAGGCGTAAGTGCTCATCCATACTACTTACGTATATTCACATATCAACGTACATATACACGTATATACGTATACTTTACATCTATACGATTAAATGAATCGATAGTGTTTTCTCTCTTTGTGCATGATTGAAGTACATACATATATACATACATACACGTATACATACATACAGGCATACATGATAAAAATTTCGTTGATTTAAAAATAACTCTGTGTATACTTCCTCAATCAATATTTTTTTCTAATCCTTCTTGTTTTCTTCATTTTATCTATTTTTTTTCTCATATAATGCAAATATGTATTTATTTACATTATCCTAATTATTTAAATGCTCAAATATATTCTAAATCACAATGTTAATATTCATATGAACATGTACAATCGACATATACACGAACAATTTTTATTGCTATTATTATAATTATTATTAATATTATTCACGAGCGTTATTTGTGTTGCTCAATGATATGCACGCGTACGTGCGCGAATCAATACACACGTAAACATGTTCATTTGATGTGTATTTCTGCATGTATTTATTATATTTGTAAATCGGTGTTTTGTGTAGTTATAGTTATTGGAAAACGATCCCACTAGTGCAGTATTTTTCGATCGATGTGGGTCATGTGCGAAGACTTTCGATTCTTGAGACGTTTCATGGATCACAACTGGCTAAATGGAAGATGGGAAATGACAATGTACACTGCAAGCTTTTCATCAACCCTCGATTGACCTCTACTTTAAGAGCTTATACCTTTTACTTTGAGGAGGATTGACATGGAAATCGTGAAAACACTGCACTAGTGAACTCTCCATTTTACGCTGATAGCACTGCAGGTATAAGCAGATCCACTTGAGATTTACTTTATTGGAGAAGTGTTACATCCTGCAGATCATCCACGCTGTCTACGCCTAAGATTGGCTCTGAGTACGAAATAACTGGTATTATAATTTTATAGCACGTAGTGAGAAATATTGTTTTATAATTTTATAATAGGTAGTGAGAAAAAAATGTCCTATATTTTTATATTTTTATTTTATTACTTATCTTTTGTTTTTTTTTTCAATAATCTCCACTATAAGTAGAATCGTAATATTTAAATATTATCCTTCAATGTTTATTTCTTTATATTGTGATTTTTTTTACAGTTTCAGATTGACATAGTTTTGTCTTAAAGAAAAAAAAAAACAGTATATTTATTTCAATTTTTATCAAGTATAATCAAATTATATGTTATAAGGATCAAATAATAGATTTTACGTTCATATATTACATTGCGAAGGAATTTATTAAATGTTAATATTGCATAATACAAAAAGTTTATGCATCAGTATTATTTCACAATACCTTGTATATTAAAAGGGTATGTCAATAATATTGCACTCTTATTAAAATGCACTTCTTTAAGAAAAATATTTGTATTGTAAGAGAGAGAAAGAAAATGAAAAATAAGACAATTTTTTATTTCTTTTTAGTTATCATTTGTAAGCATCACAATCATAAGGAAGGCTTTCAACGTGAATTAAAATATTGAATCAAACTTTTCTTCTCATATATTTCATCAAAATAGGGGAGTGCCTATAAAATAATTACAATGATTAAAGATGACAATGAGCGAGCTATAAATAGATGAATTTTCTTAGGATATTTAAGCTACAAAACATGACAGAAACATTTATTTGTAATGTAATTCACAATTTCATACATTTATTTTTATGTAACAATATAAATTTGAATGCTAGTTTCGGAGACAAATTAAATACACTAAATGTCTGTGTTTTATAACAGTCAAGTTAACTGCACTTAGAATACACTGTATGTGTTCTCTTGTTTTTAGATCTTGGGCGTAGTAAGTACTTTGCTTGCATTTGTAAATTTCGTAAAAATCCAGTGCATTCAGAGTGCAATGTTTTTATACCTAATATCATTTATGAATTAGAAATAAGGTCACGCTTTGTTTAATCATGCTTTACACCTTCTTGTATAATATCATAACATTGGCCATTGTGGATGCAGAGACCCTTGGAATATTTTGACCAGTCACCTGTGCGCACACCTCAAGACTGCACATATGCGAATCTTTTTCTTGGACTTATTTACATCACCTTTAATGCAATCGTAGGACTCAAATAGTTTTAAAGCACAATGTCTTGGGTTTCTTCATGTTTTCCTTTTCTTCTAACACGGTCTGTCTAATAGAACAAGCACTACTATTAATAGCACTTTAAATCACACGCTACAACAAGCATGTTGTTTCAAAAGGTACGGCACATTATTAAAGAAACCTATCAATATTTCTTTGTTCTCTGATAAAAAATATTAATCTGAAATTTATTAACTAATAATGTATTCTGTAATATAGGTGGATGTCACATTGGTACATCATTATCCTCATACTCATCATGATCAATTACTATCTGCAACTGCTAAATTAATGGTAAAACTATCTGAGTTACATGCTGGAAATAATGGATATTTGGAAATTAGTTGCCATTCTACTATACCAGACTATCCTATGAATCATGAAGAGTATGCTGATATTAGGAAGAAAACAGTGTCAAGTAATTATATATATCGCATATGAATTATTTTGTTTTTCTTTTCTCTATGATATGTGTATATATTTTATTTGCGGTCGATAAGGTAGATATTATATTTTTCTCATTTTCATTAATTGTTTGTTATTTGTTTTAGTTCAAATTATCCTAACACCAGTACCTTCATCTTTTGCGGTCAGGAGCATGCACGAATTAGCATTGGTGACAATGTCGTGCATAATCTGTGCAAAGCGCACATTAATATCTTAATATACGTCAATTTATATATAATAAAACTGTATAAAAAAAAGAATATGCGTAAGTAAAACTATAAAAAGAGAAAAGAAAAGAAAAGAAAAAGAAAAAAATGAATATACGAACGAACAATCACGTTGTCTTCCTTGATTATACAGAAATGCAGGGTGCAATGATCGTATTATGTTGCGAAGCTATCATTCATAGACACGATTTTCTCGTGCAGCTATTTTTTACTAATGCTTGAAATTTTATGAACTTCATAAGTGATTTATCTCTATAAACGTGTTTTTAGATTAGAAATATAACTCCTTTGTGTAATAAGGTTAAACAAATAATTGATGTTTCTACAATCAATATTAAGGAGAACAATACAGTGATTCATACTAATAACAATCTCACAGAAAGCTAAACATTTAAAAAAATCCAAAAGAGTAATTAAAAAAATAAATAAATAAAAGAAGAAATAGTAAATGTACTTTGTTAAAAGTAGAATGTATATAATATGTTTTTATTGATGGAATATTTTATCATTTACTTTCGAGGATATATTTATTCAGAAAATAATTCAAAATATATATACAAGAGAAACCATTAAATATATAATAACTCTTACAATATGTTTTATCCACTCAAAGTATGGTGTGTATAAATGTTTTTTATTTAATAAAACTATATATTATATTCGGATGACAAGGATAAGTATTGAGAAAAAATGTCCATATATTTAGGAATTAGCATTGGTTGATGTGTATGAAATGGTGTTATATAAATTATTGAAAAATTCTATCAAGTAATTTAATACCTTATATTTTCCATCATCATAAAAAACCAAATTTAACAGATTATCCTAATTCGATGTTGAAAATTTTTATAAATTATTTTAGATTGTTAATGTGATATAATATATTTTTCGTTTTAAATTAAACATCGGATAAAAATAACCTACAAATTGTATTAATCTTAATTATTATAAGGAAATAATAAACAGACAGTTATCAAAATTATTAAATAGTTAAATAGATAATTATACAAATAATGATATTAGGGTGTATAAATCGATAAGAAAAATATTATTTCAAAATTCGCGCGTAGATGAGTCTACTGTCCGAACATTTCCGAACATTTCCGATCGATAAAGGAAGTGTTAGTCTACTGTTTAATGTGAAGCTTTGGATAAATGCGAATTTAGAATAAACTGTGCTAATTGTTTGTAGTGAGTGTTAATATATTTTACGTAAATAATAAAATTTTCTTCCGTCAAAATTTTCTTATTAAATGTGTAATAATGAAAAAAATCATTTAATTTTATTGTGTTAATTTATCTTATAAATATACAGTCGCATTAATGATCGAAATAATTTCGTTCTGACTCATATCGCGTTATAAACATTATTTATGTAAACGTTCTTATATCTATAAGATAATGTATTTACGTACATACAATTTTATCTATATACAAATTTAAACTGAAACGTTTAAAAGGTTTAACGTATATATCCTTTTATATTTCATGAATGTTCTTTTTGTTACTATAGACCCACCTGTTGGATATTCTGACACCTGTTTCCAAATCTTTAAACTTTCAGGTAAAGACATAATCTTTGTCCATAAACTTCGTTTTTTTTTTTTTAAATATATATTTCGCTTACACATATGCATTATATTTTTCATTTTAATTATGCATATGTTAATATGTTAAAGTAAAATTAAATTATATATATATATGTGTGTGTGGGTGTGTTTATGTCATACGTTATGTTATATATAATAGTTTACTATTGAGTTGTTAATATTTTTTTTATGGAAAAATATCCTTGCTTAGATATTTCTTTGTATAATATGGGTGATATGACAAATCGGTGATTACGTAATAATAAAGGATATTTATAATTGTCATGTATGCTTCATACAGTCTTCTAGCAGGTCAGTATTTTGTTAAAATTGTTTTTGTTACAAAATTTATAATAATTATAAGAAAATTATTAATGATTAAATGTGATATTGTATATTTTTTAAATCGTTATCTATAGACAAATAACTATTTATTGATTCAATGCAAACATATGTGCACTTGTTTGGTTTTTATTTTTCAGATATGGAGCAAACGGAACAACCTCAGTCACCTGCAAATAAACCGGAAGGGTTTACATTTTTATTTACAATTTTAGAAGCGGTAGGAGCCGTGCTTATTATTTTAATGATAGTATGGATTACCGAATTTAGAGGTGGTTTTTCTTGGACATCTCGTCCAGATCTTGAATTTAATTGGCATCCTTTATTAATGACTATTGGATTTGTATTTCTTTATGCTAATGGTATAAAATTTGATTATTTATTTTTTTAACAGGATATATATGGCGATGAAGAATTTAAAAAAATGGTTTTTTTTTTCTTTTTTCATTTTAGCTATGCTTATATATAGAACACAAAGGAACGTTCGAAAAAGGCGATTAAAATTAATACACACTGGATTGATGGTACTTACTATTTTACTGACAATAATTGCATTGATTGCAGTCTTTGATAGTCATAATTTAAAGAACCCACCCATACCAAACATGTATACTTTACACAGCTGGATAGGATTAACAAGTGTAATATTGTTTTGTTGCCAAGTAAGTCAATACTTTGAGTAAAATAATATATATTTTTAAAACTCATATAGAGAGATATTATTATATAAATTAATTTTTTTAACAGCTGCTCGCAGGTTTCATTACTTTTCTTTATCCTGGTTTGCATGAATCATTACGGTCATCCTATATGCCAATACACGTTTACTTTGGTATAGCAACTTTTGTTGGAAGCATTGCAGCTTGTTTAATTGGACTCAACGAGAAAGCAATCTTTGCTATAAAGTTAGTTCATAACAATAATAATTAAATAAGTGCTATGATATATTAAGAAATTAATATTACTTTTATATTTCAGGGATTATGGAAACTTTGTTTCCGAAGGAATCTTGGTAAACAGTATCGGACTATTTTTAGTCATTTTTGGAGCATTAGCAGTATATTTAGTATCGCAGGGACAATATAAACGTTTACCCAGACCGGAGGATAATCTATTGCTGACAAATAGAAACTAACTAAAATGATGAGATATTATTATCTCTTCAAAATGATATTCTTATCTATGTGCTTATGCTTCAAAAGCTCTTGATAAGTTTTATATTGGTCTCAGATTTTTAATATATTTTTTCGTTACTTTTTCTAAGTATTATCAATTTATATTATCAGTTTAATAGTTAATATTTGTTCAATTGTTACATTAATTAAATATTATATATTTCTATTGTTAATATTATTGATGGTGCTATTTTAAATATAAAATGGTGCTGTTTGTTTTTAATCTCATTTGCAATTAGTTAACACTTAATATAATATTAATTTATATATATATATATATATATAAAATGTACTTTAATTTCCATCAAATGAAAATAGGATTTTAATTGCATAGGAAATTAGCGGAGTGTAACATGTTATTCTCATCTTCTCTGTTTTGCAGCTTTTTTTCGTTACTGTTTAATTACTGCTAACAGTGTCAAATCCATTCGAACTTCATCGGGTTTTATTCACATTCCTTATACTATAATTTATAATTTCGTTAAGTTTCGATCAAATCAGCGCCACGATGATTCCAACATCAAACGTAGACTCCATTAGATATACAATCTTCGATATTTATTTTTTTTTCCAATCGAAGACTGCCTCAATGATTGAAACATCAAATGAAGACTCTATAAGATATACAATATTTTATTGTTACTTTTGTTTCTAATCAAAGATTATTAGTTGTTAATTTAAAAAATGTAAGAACTGTGAATATTGCTCTTGAAATAATCGAATTATTATATTAATTAATAAGAAACATTTCATGTGTATATATATGCGTAAAAACATACATATATATTGTAATGAATACAAATAAAAATGTTATGTCGTCGTGTTACAGCAAGATAAATATTCGTTTTATTATTAGATTCCTAAACTTATATATTTAAGTTTAAAAATTGACGCGCGCATATTAACGCGACACATATCACATAGATAGAAAAAACAAGTAAAGAGATTCGTTAACGAATTCGTTTGTAATCGTTTATTTCCGTATATGATCGTTGGCGCGGTAACGATGTAACCAATAGAAAGTGTCGTTGTATAGTGGCGCCAACTAACGGATTGCGTACTTTTTCAAAGTTTTTCGGAGAGTTCTCGCGCCGTGAGTTATATACGCGACAATCCTTCGAGACGGCGTTGTGTGTGCATATTCGCTGTGTTGGTGCGTTTCTAATCGCGGTTGCATCGCGTCGGCGCGATTTGTGAACTTCTTATTAGTGTTTTCTTTTATTTCTAATTTATCTTTATACGCAAACAAAACATACATTATTAACAATAGTCATCCTTATCTTAAATTATTATTTTATTTCTAACCTACTAAAAGCTTAATCAAAAGTGTTTAACACATTCGATATAAAACATCGAACAGGAAGGAGAATTAAAAAAAATGAAGAACGTTCGTTATGTCGACAGTTGACACGTCTTTTGTGGTGAGTTTGAATCCTTTCGTATTATTTTTTCTATTTTATTATTTTGTTGTATCTGTATGTTTTTTTGGCTTGATAAATGTATATATATTTACACGACCATACACCACACACACACACACACACACACACACACACAACATACAGACACATACGACGCACGCATATGCATGCACGTATATGTATACATATTGCAACGAGCCACGTTGCGCAGACGATAAGAAAATTTGCATTTACTCATCTCTTTATGATCTTCAATCGTTGCATGTGATAGGAACGTGCCTCTTCTTAACACATACCCCTCTCCATTATTGGCTCACCCTTCGCCCTCCTCTACTATACTCTTTCGTTTTATCCATAACTCTATGAATACATTGTTCTTATTTACTTTCTTAGTTATTTCTCAATATCAGATCTCGTTAACAATTATTGATTTGATCAAACGTTTTGTATTCGTCTAACAAGAATATGGATCCGCGTATTTATGCATCGTATTTTCATTCCTTACAGATATGCATCTTTTTTTCCTCATCATGTAATCGTATATTATATTATTGACTTTATAAAAGATAACATTCAAGATATAGGTGAATGAGATTAGAATTAGTTATCTTTTGATCGAAGAATTGTTACATTTTTCGTAGATAATTTAATCGATCATCGGATTCGTTAGTCGGTATCTTTCATCAGCGATCCGACGAATTAGAGTTCGAGATTAAGTAGCGTTGAGGTGATTGGACAAAAGGGCGAGCGAATGAGAGAATGAGAGAACGAAAATATGAAAGTCAAAAATGGTTGATAAAACGAGATTCGTTTTCAAGTTTTTTAAATATACTTTCTTCTTTTTTCTATGAGATAGGTTGATCATTATTTTAAATATTTGAAAAAAAAAAAACAATTGAGAAATGTGTCTGTGTGTGTTAGCTTTTTTTTTAACGTATGTTTACAGTATTTAGTGATAGACATGTGAGTAAGATTATAAATGTTAAGTAAAAAAATTTCTCGGTAATGTATCTCCTGATTTTTATATTAGAATATTATGAATGAATATAAATTATTTATGAGAAATCATTATTTTCCTTTTTTTCTTTTATTCATTTTAAATGGACGCGCAATATTTGATTATCCTTGGAAAAAATCCGATCTAAACTTCGTGTAATGTGATTATATAACAAAAAAAAAAAAAAGAAAAGAAGAAAAAAGAAAAAGAACAGAAGTTCGTGGAATTTGATAATTATATGATATATTCGAATCTGCGATTTTCCCATTATTCCGTTGAAATTTTCTCGTTATTTTCAAAGATACTTCCTGATTCTAACTTCCCTATAGTTGTATAGTAGTAAATGATGCCTTGTGACATCTCATTTTTCGCGAGCATGCATTTTTTCGTAAAAGACGAGTTTTGTTTCTTGAAAATAAGCACGTACTTAAATTTGCGCACCTAAACATATACATATATGTACACTATATATATATATATATATATATATATGCTTGAGTTTCAATAATATTCATAAGCAAACAAATATCACAAATTATATAATTAATTATAATATTTCTATAGTGAAACATTATGTAATTATATTATACGACAAAACTTCTCAAAGCGTGGGGGAGTGGGGGGGGGGCTAGCGTAATTAAATTTGACGGTAGAAAAAATTGTAAGAAAAATGAAAAAATGACTGAACGTGCAACGATTGAAAATTAATTCAAAACCAGTATGATAATATTAATAAATATGAATGTAAGTTTATGATCATGAAAAAGAATATAATATATAGAATTCATATTCAGGGTCGCGAAAATATTTGTTCGTGTAAAGGGGGTCAGTAAGTGGAAAAGATTGAGAAGCCCTGCTGCATGACATATATATATATATATATATATATACACACATATATGTAATATTAGTATATTTAATTCTAAGTACATAAGTATTACATATATAAAATATATATAGTATACATAAATGAAAGAAACAACCATATGTAAATTAGACACAGACAATTAATACTTCCTTTAAAAAAAAAAAACACTTGCATACAAAATTTATTTATTAAAGCTTTATAAACTATTTAGTTGGAATACTTAAAAGACATTTAAGTTACATAATATTTTATAAGTCTTCATTCTCTTTCTCTCTCTCTCTCTCACTGTTGAACACAATTCGATCGATCTCCAATTAATATCTATCGAGTGATGATTTTTAACTCGTCTCTTGTACCACCCCCTTTTAGCCCCTTCTCTTTCCCATCACTCTTCATATCGCAAGATTGGATTTATCGGTGTCATAGCAATGCAACTTGCGAAGAATGGTTATTACAGATTGAAATCGTAAAGAATTATTTTTTCTTTTTATCACGTTAAGAAAGGGTCCTTTTAAAAGGGTTGTGGACCTTAATATTTCAATAGGACTTATGTAAATAATAATATTCATTCGATATAATGAATGTTTGAAATAAAGAATAAAAAATATTGTTTACTGATATTTCACATATACCTATTTATATACATATGTATATATATATATATATAATAATATATATA